GCTGGGGGTTGGCGACACAACAGACGATGCTGCTGTCTGCGACTCGGGAGCCTCCCACATAGGCGCGTCTACGTTGGTGTCGAGCTTGGAGAGTTCTTGAGGAGTAGCGCCGAGGATCACTGGGTGAAGGTCTGGATCGTCCTGGTCCTCGCCCTTGAGGTATAGGACACTGACAGGCCTGGTAGAGCTGAACATGTCTTGGAGCGAGGCAAGCTTGATGTGAAGGTCTTCTTCAGCGGGTGCGCGGCCTCCTTGGTTGTCGCTTGTCGAAGACATGGACCAGGTCCTCTTGTGTTTCGGTACCTTCCCGGGTCGTTGGCTCATGCTGCCCTTGGAGATTGATCCACTGCGTTTCCGCTTGCCAAAGTCCTTCATGCCAGACTCAACCTGTGCGATCTGCTGCTTTAGCTTGTCGATGGTCTTTTTGACGTGGGCAACATCGTTGGAGAGCTTTCTTTCGGCACCGTGGTCGCGGAAGAGCTTGACTTTACAGTAGCAGAGCTCACCATCTGGCTTTTGGGGCGACGATCCAGTGGCTTCTGTGACCATTTCGGTCTTCGCGCATAGCCGGACGGGAATGCCCTTGACGCCCTTGGAATGGCTGAAATCGGTGGAGAGAAAGTTGAAACGCACGGCCAAGGAGCACTCGGGTGAGGAGTTGTGGGTTGGTGTCCAGGTGACCACGAAGCCATCGAACGAGGAAGATTCGAGTTCAACCCTGGGTCGTCCTTGGATCTCACCGCCGCTGACTTGGCTGGGGTCCACAAACTCAACTGCTTGAAGCCGCCCACCACGCTGGTGAGCCTCGTTGGTTCCGCGGCCCTCCTTCCACAGTTGCCAGCAGGATGCCGGTCGCTGGCGCTGCTGTTCATCTTCGAACGAAATGCGGATGAAAGTCCTGTACTTGGTCGATGGAGACGGTGCTTGCGTAGGTGCCGTGTCTACCAAGGAGATGGAATAGGCCTGTCCCTTGTTCAGGTAGGTCACAGGGACTTCGTCTGATTGCTTAATCATGGCCGTTGGAGCATTCAGAGTAACATGGTAGCGGAAGCTGGAAAAGTCAGTATGATAATGGCGTGATGCAGATGGGGTGACTGACTTTTGATTGGGTGGAGGGGGTGCTGGTGCGACTGCAGCCGCCATGCCGTCGTATGAATGGGGTGCATAACCGATCAGAGGCGACTGCTCTTGCATCTCGACTTCGGGAACCATGTTGTCCATGGACGAGTCCTGGTGGGTTTGCGTCATGTTGCCCTGGTCGAATGCAGAAGGCTGGTGCGTGAACTGGTGCGGTGCAAATGACTGGGAATGCTGCGGCTGCATGCCAAAGGGATTGACATTCTGGAAGTGATGCGACCCCAGGGCGTGGGGATTGAAGCCATGGAGATGGTTGGCAGGCGCGACCTGGCCAGCGTGCAGCGCACCTTCCGAAGTGGGAAGCGAGAGGGGAGTTCCTAGGCCAAAACTGAAGCCGGGCGTGTGGAGGTCGCCGGCCTGGCTGTGGTAGAGCGTGTTGGTGCCGCCGGGCGTTGGGGTGTAGTAGCCCGGCGGTTGGTTTGCGAAAGAGGTGAATGCGAAGCTGTTGGGGTCGAGCAGTGACGGAGTGAACCTCCACGGCTCATTGTTCCCGCGCGGAGTGGGATCCTGGTCCTTGATGTCCTCATGGTCGAGGTGGCTGGAAAACATGGAGTTAGCAAAATGTTGGGTGCAGGTGCAAATTGGGCGTCGGCGTTGTTGACGTTGGTGATGGTGCCGAGTGACATGGGATGGGGGGATCTCGGAAAGACGTACCGGGAGGGGTGCGCGACATCAAGCGCATCTGCGAGCGTGTGGCCGGGCGGCCCAGCAATCGAGTGCGAACGCTGCTGCAGATGGGGGAACGTGGCCTTGAAGTCCTCGAGGAGCTTTCCGTCGGGTTTTTGGCTGTTGAGTCTGCGCAAGTCAGTATGTACTTGATGACATGGGACGCGACGCGCGCAAATCACATGCGGGCTTGGGCGCGGGCGGGACGACGTACCTATTTCGAAACATGGCATCGGACACACTCGCGGAGTTAGGTGCTGAGGACTTGGAATTGCATCGGGCGGTCGATGGGATAAGGTAGCAGTGAGTAGCAGGCGTGCGGCGGCCCTGGGGTTATGATAAACGGAGCGCAGCTGCCACGAGAAAGACGAGCCTTTGGGGTCAAGCCACAGATGTCCAGGGCCGGTGGTCAGACGTCTTTTAGCTGGTCACTAGCGAGCAGAGCATCCACAGGGCCTGACGGAATTGCTCGAGGGCCGCGCGTGGGCATGGGTGGAGCGTCGGGTCTAGGCACACTGCTCTAACGCTACGGTTTTGCATGGCCCTAGGCGGCTTTGGTCCGCCGCCCTACTCTGTGCGCGACATGCTGCCAGACTGATCACCCACCGCCCGTCCTGCACAGCCACAACCCTACGGCAGACGCGAGCCGGCCAGAAGCCCTCACGGCCGCATGGGGTGCTGATAGTCGCTGCATCTGTCGCCATCCCGCACTCCAAGCGCACATCCGCCCATGGATGCTGGATCGCGCGGACCCAGCCCGATGTTTCTCGAACCCACTGCAGTTGCTACACCAGTGCGAGGCGCTCGTGCGCGGCTCCAGTGGCTTGATGAGTATTCCGTGCCCTGCCCGCAATTTGCTCGTCGCGACAGACGCTGCTCGCACACTATGCCCCCTTTGTCCTGCGAGACTGTTGCGGCGCCTACGGTGTGCGTTGGCGCCTCAATGCGAAATGACATATGCCGGCCAGCTCCCGTTTCCACTTGTGTCCCGAGACTGCAAAGCCCTGGTCTCGCTCCTGTATTCCACGCGGCAGACGTCTCTGCCGCTGCTCGCCCTACCATTCCAGTCTACTGCCGGCCGCCTTCCCCTGCGTTCGAGCTACGGATCAGAGACGAGGATGCCACCCCGCCAATTCGTCAAAGTCTATCGCCCAGGCCAATCCCACTGACGCCCGTTGGCCCTGTATCGCTTGCGCTTACTCGGAAGACTTAATTCTTAACGTTATTTCACTACCTGTCAGGCCGAGATTAAGGAGTGGTTAGCGGGCGTTATCCCGAACGCGTTTCTATCCACCGACTGAACCATCAACGGCTTTCGTCATCGCCAGGCGCTTGGGCTTTGCATCTGGAGCCGTAAACGCATTGCAGCCACAAGAGTGAACGTCACTGCCTTATGCAGTTACACCAACCGCACTGCTGGCTGTTGCATGCAATGCTAGTCCGCCATGGCCAATCGCACCGCTGGGGAAGCCTCGTCCGGTAGGTCCAACGGAGGATTCCACTGACGCAGCGATCCTTGTGTAAAAATAAGTGTGGCAACATTTACAGACGGTGATCGACAACGGGAACTCTCGACGAATAACAGCCCTCGCGCATTATCAGGTGGAAGATACCTTTCAGTCAACTCGGCAATGATCGCCCGACTGTGGCACATCTTCGCACTCGCCACACCCAACGCCACACCTCGCTGATCACGCCTTAGAAGAGAGCAGATAGCGAACGACGCGTAGGCTTGCAGAATGGAAGGAGCTGGAAAGGCCTTGTTCATGACTAGATGTTGCGATTAGATTCCAACAAGTTCAGAGTCCAGCCTGGTAGTGCAGTGCTCTGGCGTAGTGTCAATAGCCGTACCTCCTGAGCGATGCATTGGCCATAAACAATCTAGAGTGAGGTCACCTCCGTACAACCGCGTCCGGATAGGTTCATCTCTCGACGCCGCCTTGTCATTGTGACAGCGCTTTGCGGGAGGAGCAGCAGTTGCATCGTCTGATGTGAGCTGCCAGTTTAGCCATAGGTTGTCATCTCGCTAATTGACGCGACTAATTTTGGTTATTACGTGAAAAGCACTGCAATCTTAGACTGACACAAACTCCATCATCACAAGGCTGGGACGCACGTGTTTGACAATAACCGTCGAATTGTTCTCTTTCAAGCATACGGGATTTAGCATAACCCCACCTTCTGTTGTGACGGTGTGAACGCTCCGGTCGGGACATTTCATAGTGAATCAATTATCCTTTCTGACGTTGGCGATTAGAATGCGTGGTACCGCACCATGTCTGACAGTCGAATCAAACTCAAACCGACGCGCTGAGTAACCGGCATGAAACACCAATCGCTGCCCAATTTGCCCAACATAACTCTAACATCTCGATCACGAGTATATCAGACCTCCATTCATCAAACCGATGACGTTTTCTTTGGGACATCATCGCCCGGCCTTACCGAACCTTGTGAATTGTTCACTCGCGGAAGCGAAAGCATCGGACTACCTCGAGCTGACCAGTGACGATGATTGACTTGCATCACTTGCAGCCCTCGCTGCTGCAACAGCCGTTATCGTGTTACGCAGTCCTGTGACACTATGTTGGTTCCTCAATACCGACGGAGAGTCTGGCATACGCAGGCTGTTGATCGAACTCTTCCTGCTCTGAAGCTCCGGTCGCATGCTTCCGATCGAATTTTCGCGGAATGCCGTAATAACACTTGAGCTAGACCCACGGCGACTGTCCTGAGGCCTGGCATAGACCGACTGGATGCTCGAAGCGGAATCTGCTCGACGGCTACGACCCAAGGTTTGCACAGGGCTGGGAATCTTTGAATGCTTGCCCAAGTCCGCACCCAGAGTTTGGGACGATGAAGTCGATCTGATTGATCGCGTATCAAGCGCCGGGCGTCCAGTACGCATGAGAAGGGGGGTATCTGAATTGTCAGACCCGCTCTCATTGGCCTCCCCATCAAGCGCTCTGAACTCCTCTGTGAGTGCTCCAAGCTGGTCAGCCCCAGGCTCGAAAGAAAACTGTCGGCGATGCTTTTGGGTTGTATTGAGTTGGGGTTGCGACTGAAATTTTCGGAGGACATTCCTCGGCGCAAGGCCTTGGTCGAAAGACTCGTATATTCCATTGTCAGAGCTGATTTCTTTACGTGGGATGCGGGCATCATTCTCTTCGACATGTGCTGTCAACTTCTCTGCCGATCTAGTCTGCGAGAACAGCATCATGAGACCATGATTGAAGCTGTTCACCTCTAGACCTCGACGTCTTGCGACGAGTGTACCGAGTGCCCGGAGAGCGATAAGAGCTTCGCATTCGGTGGCCGGCTCCATGCCGGTGTGCTCCAGAATCGTCATCTCGTCAGGCAAAGGGTCGCCAGATCCTCCCGAGAAGCCAGAAGCGACAGAACTAGTAAAGGATCGAGAAGGCCTTGTCTTCTGAATAGCAATGAGATTGAGCTCGCTCTGGACTTTGCGCGACAATGTCAAATTCTTGCTAGTCTGCGGTGGATTGCCTACAGGCAACTCTTCCATGTCGTTGGTGAACTGCGTCGATAGGACGGCCATCTTTCCAGAGGGAGACGACGGCCGGTTCAGAAGCGCTATCCAAAGTTAACAAGTGATACGTGTAACACACTCTTGGGACGACTCACCTCTCTGACTCATCAATTTGATCTCTTGGTCAAGTTGCGCGTAAGAGAGGAGGTCGTATTTTGGCGGGAAACTGTCGTGCGAGATGGTCTTCCTATGACGTCGCACAATACTGTCTTGACGAGCCTGTATGAGTCTTCTATCTGTTAGTAAAGGGAGAGCAAAGGATTGGGCACTACCTAGGTACTCACCCAGTCATGCCACTGGCCCCACGAGCTATGAGTAGCTCCAAGCGCCGTATCTCCGCTCCATAGCGATCTCTTGAGCGTGTCCAGTGCTCTTCGGCCTTTTTCCAATCCTTGAGTGTCTCCTCCAACATTATACTGAGGCACTCCTTCTGCTCTCGCACCTTGCGGTAGTCCTCAAACACACGGAAAAGGCCGCTGTTGTGCTCCATAGGTATTGGCCAGGAAGCTGTTACCATATGCGATCGGACAGAGGTTACAACGTCGAGCGGATCTATGTAGGTCTGAAAGGGCGGTGGTGCATCTTCACCCCATGGCGCAGAAAACGCGAACTCGGGCTCTTTGGCTGTCTCTTTGAAGTTGGCGAAGAGCGATGTGTAGCGAGCGAGCTTGGGCTTCGAGTCTCGACGTAGAGCCGGGGTATCTGAGCGTTCACTTGGGGCGTCATCTGCGTCGTCGGCGATAGGCGTGGTGTGCGCACCGCCTACAGGAGTCTGTGGTCTGCTGCTCTGCCGTGTCTTCCGCCAGCTGAGTTGAAGGCGGCGGTCGCTCGTATCGTCGAGGCCTGCAGGACTGTCGACGTCAATCTTGAGCGGGGTAGATGTTCTCGGGGGCTTCTTTGGCTGCTTGCTGTGTCCCAAGCGCCAGCTTTTGTTGTCGGGCATATTCTCGTCGTCGTCCTTTGCGAGCTCTCTCGATAGATGCGTAGCGACAGAGAGCCCAGGCAGCTGAGATACGAAAATATCCATAGTTTCTGTGGGTCGTGGTTGCCAGTTAGGTGAGATTGTGCGGGGCGACTGTCGAACAGAAGGGTAGGAGTTGTTGACTGGGAAGGCGCCATCGTCCACCACCAGCTCTCACCTTCACCTCCGCTTCCGGCTATCAGCATGACGCGCTCTCACCACTAATGACGGCTATGGACGGCTGATTGCTGAGCTCCAGTGTCATCTTGATAGAAGGCAGGCGCGACCTCGCCCGCTTTCACTGCTCGAAGATGGGAGCTCTTCGCTCTTTCCTCACCCTCTTGTCACCTGCAGCGTCTGGACCTTTCCATTAGGTCACCGAAACTTTGATCAGAGGCAGTTACGCATCGATGATGCTAGATACCTAGGTAGAATCGAATCACGATAGCGTTGGGAAGTCGCGTTTTCTGGGGACGGAAGGAGCATGTCTTGTACTTGACCAGCGAAAGCTTCCACTGTAGTTAAAAACTGTGTACAGCTATACAACATAGATATTGTCGCACTCGCAACTTGATAGAATCCAGATACGAGACGGGGAAACTGCGAAGAATACCAGGGATCAAATATGCCGTCCACGAAGCGCCGGTAGTCAAAAAGAGCGGTCTCACAGACCGGGAACAGAGCCTCTTCTCTCGAACTACGTGAAGTTCATGGTTAAAAGTCGCAGAAACGTCATGTTATTGTCAGAGGGCAATCCTCACAATATGTCTGAAGTCCGCGGCGAAGCGAAGTGTCCACAAACGGCTAGCGCCAGCTGACCCGATCAACACATCCGACAGTCACGGACGAACGACCATCATTGCACCAACAATGACAAGTTCTGCCCCAGGCTTACGCGTATCGACGTTTTGAAAAGAGCGCAGGTCAACAGATAGTACTTGGCGGCTTGTCGCATCGCATTGTGATCTCTGAGATCGTTGCCAAGGGAAGTGCTCTTCCGAGTTTCGGCTGAGTTTGAGTACCGTTTCATCTCACTACAACCGCTCTGCATCACGGTGCTTATACGGTACTACACTACCTTAACGAGCCTATTGATCAAGGCAGCAAGGTGGACGTTGTTGCAGGCTGGATGCCTTCCTGGATGATGCTGAAGTCTGCTTTTGTGACCACGACGAAAGACAACTTTACATGATACGGTTGAAGTCGATACTACACGTTCCATTGCATCATCGTCATACCCTATAAAGATCTGAGTACAGAAGCCGCGCGTCTCCCGTTCTTTGGGAAAGCATCGACACCTCTCCGACATTTTTGACACACTTCAACACACCTCATCCCCGGCCGTGCCCTTCCCGCAGAACCAGACCGCTCCACTCCCCGCCGTTGCTATGGAGCAGATCGTACTCCTTTCGCTAATACAGTACCAAGAAACAGGCAGGAAAGTCTAGACTCCGGTTTCAGCCTTCTCAGCGCGAGGCACAAAGTAAGGTACCAGGATGACTTTGTGATTGACAACGGCGCCTGATGACGACGACGGCGGTGTGCCTGTATGTCAGATGCGCCGTGGCTGGCAGGCTATAAGTTGGAAGTATCCTCAGGCTAGTAGACGCTTTCCTTACTTCAAGCTCACCATCAAGTCAACTTCTTCAAGTCAATCTTCTTGTTTTCCAACCTTTCTATACGTTCACTCTTTGTCGCCGGGCGACTTTACCACGTTTACAACTACCATCTACGCTTCTTCTACATCTACTCTCCGAGTTCAATAATCACCTAAACACTATTTCAAAATGAAGTTCTCCGCTGTCGTCGCTACCATCTTCTCCATGGCCGCTTTCGCCATGGCTGCACCTGTCGCCAACGAGGGTATGTTTTCTTTCTAAATCGATGACCAGGAGCAGTTACTGACAAGATGAATAGAAGTTGCCGCCCGTCAGAACCATGGCATGTGTGTCAAGGGCACCACCGCTGGTGTCGAGCAGATCGAGGGCTGCTAGAGAGTTATACCCATGAGAGGATGTAGAAGACGGAGGAGCAAGATTACCACGAGTTGTGACTGGAGGAGAAGGAATTGGAGGATACAATGACCATCGCAGAACGGCGGTGCCGAAACGATGTAGAAGCGTCCGTTCTGGTTGCGTTCAAGTAATACAAGACAATTGACAAAGCATCACGGTGTGATGGGCTTGAATCACTGTCCACGTTCCATGTACTCTTTCCCACTAGTCAGACGTAATGGCACGCGCCTTTGGTGCTACGGATTCCCAATCCATGTGGCAATGATATAAAACGAGTGATCTAGAACCACTAGTTCGTCGGTAGCCTCGCGTGGGCCTTGCAGACAACGTTTCTGCCTGAGCAGCGTTGATAGTGAACGCCACCAGCAAAGGAAGTCGAACATTACCCCTCACTTCAACAATACAGACTGTGAAGAAGAACAAAAATGCGTAATTAAGTAAGTCCAACATAACCACATCGCTACATAGGTATATAAACGCTTGAACGCTTCCAAGAAAAAATGCAAGATGGAAATGCCAACAATATGCTCGTCAGGCAATATGCAGCACCATTACTGCCTTAGGGGTATGCACTCTCACTCTGCTGCTTCTTCTCCTTCTCCTTCTCAGCATTCTTACCCGGTCTGAAAGCATCTAGACTGATCCTCCTCCGGTCCCTTTCCCTGCCCTCATCTGCACCGCTAGACTCGGCCTCGCTTTCTCTTTCCTTCTCCTTCTGCTTCTTCTTTTCCACTTCTTTGATAGCTTCTCCGGTCAATTCTTGTCTGTTCATGCGTTCTACTACGTCCTTCTTCCTCGTCCGCTTGTCGCCGAGCCAAATCAGTAAACCGGCTGTGGCATTGCAGGCGATAGAGCAGCAGAGAATGACAGTCGTGATAGCAAAGGGGCGATGCTTGTAGTAGATACCCCACGTGCAAGCGCCGAGGGAGATCTGGAGTAGAGAGTGGCAGTCAAGAAGTACGACGATGGCGACCAGAAAGCGGAGAGGGAAGGCGTAATGGGTCTCAGTCTCATGGGGCTTGTAGAAGGAATGTGATTTGCAAAATTTGGCCTGGTGGTGCTCGAGCTTCTCTTGTTGCTTGGGCGTCAACACGGTGAATTCCCATTGTTTCTCGGGGTCGGCTGGGTCTATAGCGCGTGGTCCAGATACGGGAGCGTGTTCGGCAGGGAGGTCGTTGTGGTCGGTGAGGTCGGGAAGCATCTCCTTCTTACGGCGAGACCATGTGAAATGGTGGTAGTGAGCAATGTAGATCATGTGGTATGTGTCGACACAGCGGAAGGGTGCTAGGCCGTCTCCTACGACAGCGAAGAGAGCAACAAGGACACTGTCAATGACGTGAACTACGTAGATCTGCTGTCCACCGACATTGGCCCAGCCGATGAGGAAGAGCACCCAGGCCAAACCGAATGCGGTGATCAGGAAGGCGTATAGGGTGACTAGGAAGCCAAGTGCTGTAGATAGTCAGTAATAGTTGAGAGTAGAGTGATATAGATACTTACGTCTCCTGACATACATGCCGAATCCCTTGAGCGAGCGCTTCATCTTCGAGCGTCTTGAGTGGAGCATGTGCCGTACGTGGTCGTTCACCTCTTTCTTGTCCTCGACGCTCCACCCAGACAAGTCAGTATCCTCAGGAAGGACAGCGAAGCGCGACTCAGTAAGCTGCGAATCTATCGTCATCATGGTGGCCGTCGTGGTCTCAGTCGCCGAGCGCTGGAATCTGGGAGCCGCCTGGGCCGCTTGAGCTTCTGCCTCCGCCTCGGCCTGAGCAGCGCGAGCGGGCTCCAGTATGCGGTTAATCTCTTCCAGACTCTCGGTCTCGCTCTTCCGTCGCTTTAGGTTGTAAGTGGGCCGGCGGTTGAGCCATGGTAGATTGGGGATGAAGAGCGAGTTTTGCATGTTTGTCAAGGAAGTAAGCGTCGCAACTTCGGGGTCGATGGTGTCGAGGACATCGACCATGCCTGAAGTGTAGTTGGACGACATATCGTCTTCTGGAGCAGCTGCCGCATGGGCGCTTGTCGTCGGCGACTTCTCCTCCTCCTTAGTGCCCCAAAAGGGTATCCTGGTCTGTATCGCGCTCTTGACCTTCCGTAGTCGACTTCTGTCCGGCTCTGGATTGTTGAGGGTACTCTGGCTCCCGTTCGCGGAGGAAAACTGTCCCAGCTCTTGCTCCTCGTCCAGCGCAGGCAGGGGCGTGCTCGCTCTTATGATGGAGCCTTGTGGTTGTTGCGCGGACTGTCTTAGGGCGTTGGATGAGGGCATACGCCGTATACCGATACTGGCTTGACGGCCGACTTGCGGTCGTCGTGGGTATTGCTGGGGTTTGGTCGGCGCGGAGCTGCTCCTTGCTCGTTGCGCGGCAAGAGTGCTTGACAAAGGTCAGCATCGCACTCTCCTCATTCACGTGCTTATAGCGTACCTGTAGCTGACATGCGATGCGGGATCGCTTGCCCTGGTGGGCTTGGGGACATGCTGGCCAGCATCGATGGATGACTCTAACGAGGTAGGCGGCTCGATGACAGGTTGTTGTGTTGGCTGATCCTCGGCTGCTCCAAAGTCCTGCGCATTCGTCCCAGGCTCGGCGCTCTGAATTCCTTCGTTGACGGCATGCGTGCTGGAGTTATCGTGGGGTGCCTGAGACTGGTGTGGAGCATGCAGCTCGCCCGTGCCGGAGCCTGAAGATGTCGCGCCGGCACCTCTGGCGCGCGCAATACGCGTCTTCAACCTCTGTAAATCCATGGCGACCACGGAATTGAGGATGGGGAACGCAAACCCCAGGGCAATTCCCGATAAACATGTCTTTATGACTTGGAAACGGCCGTGGCCCAATGCAGTCTGGCGGCTGAGGATTGGCTTTTACAAGCCTGGAATTTTGTCTTGGGGGACGTCATATTGCGCCGCAACCACTACCACCCCCTTTCCCCCAAGACGACTCGCATCGCGCGCGCGAGTAACGTTCGTGGGGACGGTCCACTAACGCCATTCAGTGTTTGGACTACAGAGGTTAACGAGCGACTGTAAGGATCTCACGAAACGTATAGCATGTAGGGCGAGGCCGTTAGGGAGACATGCTCCAGGGAGCGACCTCGACTCCCCAGATCTGAAACTCCGGTTGGCACCCTTGCAATGATCGTTTTCGCTTACGGAAAACCGGATCCTGGGTGTCACATGCACACTGACGCTATCACGTGGCTATGTCTCGCGAGTCGTGCATGTGTTCTGGCCGTAGCAACTACGAAATATCAATTGTTTTCGAGCACTGATATCGTTCTCATGCTCAACTGTATTGACCTAAGAGGTTGCGGGATGATGCAGGGTCCTTTTAGTCGCACTGGTAGCTAGCGGCGGCGGGTACCTGACTTAGCGTATCTTCACGTTCCGCCCAGTACCGCTGGTTTGACGCTTGCCGTCTCATCTCAAGTCGCTATGGCTGGTATACTGACATTCTGCTCAGGGCCTTGAATACGCCTGCAGCATGAAGGTCGTACTCTATCTGCCCTCGACAAGTCGAGAACTTTGGTTGAGGTGTTGCTTTTTCACATTCCTTCTAACATCTATGACGACATCTATCCCTCCATGGACCTCAAAGACCGAGAGGGGTCGATCACCACCCTAAGCGCTTATGAATTGTCTTCGAGGTATGTGTCCAAATGATACAACAACGGTCCTTGTTCCTCCTTCAGCGCAGCCGTCGCTAGCTCACTCAAGAACCGTTTGGGCAAATCATCGCACTGGAGTAAACCATGGCGTCCGAGACCGCACCAACTATGAACAAGTAGCTCCCTCATTAGATCCCCAGCTACTGTACCTTCGTAGATAATCTTTATACACTCTGGGCCAGGGTTTGTGTGAACAACGTACCCATAAGATTCACGGAAGGAGATCTGCTCATACAGTGCCTGAGTTGCCAGATTACGGGTGTGTAGATCGAGCAGCAACTCAGCTATCACGTATACGTGGCATATGCTTTCGAGACTTCTTGAGTCATCCTTGAGCGTGATGCGATTTGTATAGACGGTTTCCAAGTAGTGCTCAACATCTTCCGATCTCAGCTCAGGGTTAACTTCGTAGAGGTTGATAGTCTTAGCGTCAGAATTATTCCAGCGGCCACTAAGCGCGTTGGCGAAGAACTTCGATCGCGACGTTATGATGGACTGGTGAACAAAAAGTTCTGAACGCTGAGATTCTGGCCCAACGAGAACTTTGACGAGAGGAGAGGAGATGAACCTGGGATGTTATCAACAGTGGTCTAAATTGATGGGCTGTTAGGACTACATACCCATCGACACCTCGTCTTAGTACTTTGATGGATGTGTCAGACGTTTTCTGTGATTCCGTTGAAGATGCGTCAGAAGTTCTCCGTGGTTGCGTTGACATGGTGTTCGGAGAAAGGTAGCGAGGCCGTTAAGTCAAGTGAAGAGCTCTTTCGTAAGGAAAAGACGAAGATGAGAACAGTTATCAGAGTAAGAGTTGGATAGCGTTTTCTTTGCGAGATCTAGCTTGACAAACTCTCCGATCCTCTCACTAACCGCTCGGCGGTTTGACCACCTGAGGTACAATCTCAACCCAGTAACCCTAATAGCTGTTAGCATGCCATTTCTCTCATGCATTTCCTTCCACTAGTTGGCGTCCACTTACGTCCGGATCCTTAACGAAAGCCAGTTGTTTGAAGACATGCTTGTAGCCATCTGGTACCTTCCCATGCGTCCCGTCCACAGCCTTCGCGGGTAAACCCATCTGCTCTTCTTTCGCCTCACCCAGCGGCTTGATGACCTCATAGCCAAAGCTATTGATCCTCTCCAGTGCTTCAGTGACATCGGGGACTGTGAATCCAATGTGACCGAAGCCGATTCCCGCCGAATTAGAATAGTCATTGCCAGAAGTATACAGCGTAGACGCGTCTGCGGGGATGTGGTACAGCTCTAGTAACCCCTTTGAGGTACCGAGGGTAGACATGCCTGTAAACCTTTCAGTATTTTGTCGGAGTTACGGAGTAAATGTGTGTACTTACCACTATCTCGTGGTCCTAAATAGTAAATGGTAAATGGACCAGCATTGAAGATGAAGACAACGTGCATGCCTAGACAATCACAGTAGAACTTTAAGCTTTTCTCTGGGTCTTTGATACGCGTCATCAGATGATTGAGGCGGTACTCGGAAGTTGATGGTGAGCTGGGCCGTGGAGGAGGAACGATATGCTTGCCGATCTCGTATGGTCCTGATGGATAGTTTTCGTTAGAAGACGCCATGACTGTGTTGTTACAAATACCCTCGTCCAGAGCTTGCGGTTCTTGAGCAACCTCTTCGGCATCTATAAGTACTTATATGGCATTATAGTTCACTAGTCTCAGTAGCCACATGTGGGGCATGTGGGGTAAGTTTGCGGCCCTGAAACCCTAGGAACAGGTGCTGGTTGGATACTGTGCTTCTTCTCTGAATGTTGCACACTGTGTATGCAGCGCGCCTAGAGAAGATGTAGGTTTTGTTCTTGGGAAAAGGGTGGCGCTTTCAGCTACACCCAAAGCACGCGTCACACTAGAATGTGGCGTTGATGAAAAGGAAGAGCATATAGATGTGATTGGAAATACTTTCAGCCGGGAATTCTTCTCGATAAGCCCATCATCCCAGAATGATATCTCGTCGACTACCGGGAAAGCACAGGCGAGGATGTAGGTCAGTCCTTTCGCCGGATTCTGCGCTGCGGACAGACATGACCCCTATGCGCTCCGTCATTCCGTCTCTGGTACGCGTGACCAGAACATAGTCTTTGCATATGACTATGCCCTCGAACAGGTGATGGCAGAGCGAGTAATGTAACTCCTCGTCGACATCACTCGTGACATCCAATAGCCATTCGTGATCCTCAAAACTGCGCTCGCCTGAGCCGGAGATCATCTCAATAGTACCGCGTGCTGCGTACATTGCGTCTTTGTATGTGCTGGTTGGACGATCAAAGATGTGTGAATGTCGACGCCGTTTCATAGGGATGTAGGCGAACCGAAGGTAGAGAACCTCAGCAACTATGCGCAACTGATTGGTGCAATCGAGCGCAAGATCACCATTATTCTCGAAAGCTGTCTTCACCAATTCTTCCGTCAGAGGTTCATCTGTTCCATCAAACTTCACTACATGGAGTTCCACTGGTAGTATATTGTCCCAGGTCAACGGAGATGTGCATGGCCACAGAACAGGAGCAATCCAGCCCGCCCAGGACCAGCTAGGAAAGCCTTCTCGCCGGATAATTTTCGTGAATGTTTCTGGATCGACGACCCAGCATAGTTCCCGGCAAAATGCAGCGTTGAGCTGATGTTTCACATCATCCAACTGGAAGCCATGAGCCCAAAGATGAGACCACATCCTAGACCTAGATTGGATCTCGGTACAGGCATTCATGGTATACGGTATGCCCCAATACTGATAACACGGGTTGTCTTGCGTGGAGAACGACTGGAAGAGACCACGCATTGCGTGTAGAACATCCGATTGATAGCTCAATGCTCGTTTCGTATAGCGCACGATATGCTCGCGGAAAGGATCGTCCCAAGTGCTTCGTATATAGGCACTGCTCCGCCCGATAAACAACCCTGTTGAGCCAGATGACTTCTCCGTGGTGACTGATTCGAAACAGCTCATTGTGTTGCACTCAAAGATAACCTGCTCCTCAGTGAAGATGAGTTGCAGGCGTGAGTAAAACTCCTCTTGATACGTCCTGCACGGTAAGAGTTCATGATCAGTAATGATGCACACGTGTGAACGAGGTAACTCACCAAGCTCTTTGGGACCAGGGTGATTCGCGAATAGGTATTTTGAAGTCGTCTAGCCCTGCTACCCACGTCGTGCCATTCAATTGAATGGAAGGAGGCGTAGTCCGACTTCGACCACCAACACCGGGTAGTCCATGATCCGAGTGATCACCAGCTGCAGCAACGATAGTCACTGCTGCCGCGGAATAGATCAAAGCCATCATAGATAACTGGCTTTGTAGTTGATGCGGATCCGACTGCTGGTCGAAACAATATCTTGGCGGTCATAGTCAGCATATGTCCAACATATTCTTCTGACGTGCATCCTACGCACTTATCGCACCAAAGATATCGGTAGCCAAGCTTAAGGGTGACCTTCATTGCATCCTTGATCGTTTCTGGCAGGTTCAACAAGCTCTCCGTAGCAGTGCTACAGCTAAGGACACTGTCGTGTTTATTGGAAGCTGACGGTTTACCCCAAACGTAGCTAAGTGCAACATACTCGGCACCTGGAGACGCCACGATTATCCTGGATGACCTGCAGTCGATGACTTTGAGTGCAGTTCTTCCTGGAGCCCACAGCTGAGAATTCTTGCCTTGGTGGGAACATGCATCTCCATGGTAGGTCTTGCAGTGTATAATCCACTTTCGTAGCAAAGAGTAGTCAATGAGGTTTTTCGGTAGTGTACGGAATCGCAGGTTCTCTTGTCCGGACTCTGGGAGAATGAAGCGGGAGACAGTGCAATCCTCTGACTGGACGTAGTAGTTCCGGAATGAGAAATCGCGAGGTCCTCCGACTGTTGACGGTCCTTGATAGTCCAAGAGCCGAAAACGGGCTGATTTCCAAACGGTAGATGACGAACGCTTTCCGTGTATTATAGCAGCAAAAAACAGACACAGCGGGCACTTGGAATCGTTCCTCACAACTAGCCTCTCATTGCACACCCCGACTGGGACAGTAAGGCGAGGTGCCAAGTTTTTGCATTGCATGCAAAGAGGAGGAGTTCTCGACTCGCTTGGAAGATCGGGATCGCGTGCAGAGGCAATGGCGTTCATGATGTTGGCGTTTCGGCAGAGGCGGCGTATTATCTACAACGTCTAGAATAGGGAAGCGCGCCCTTATTATATCGAAAGTCCATAGCGATTCTCATGCTATCTGCTGCATGTATGCGTGGCATTGCTGCTCGAAGTGTGGTGGGGTAGGAGGCTCAGTCCCGCGCGTGAACATCGAAGAAGCCCCGAGGCAAGGCCATCAGAACGCGCTAGCAGCCGCCCCGCGTACAAGGGTCCAGCGGCAGTCCAAAGTTTCGAGAAGGAACATTTGCGCCGCCTCCACACCACCACATTACCGTCAACATGGAGTTCCAAAGAGGAGAGCGCGTAAACTTGAACTTCGATACCGGCGCAGTCGAGAAGCTGGATCGCGAAGAACAGCATGAGCTCCCCATGCCATCATTCCCCACTTTCGTGGGCGACATCCAAGAGCGCGAATCATCACCAGCTAATCCTCCAGTCGCGCCCTCGTTCAAACCGAATGTCAATGGATTCCCCGCGCACAAGAAACGAGTACCGAGAGTATCGGCATTCAAACAGCAACGCGCCGCAAAGGAACAACAAGCTACCGCACCACCGAAAGCGCCGGCAACGACACAGGATGCGCCCAAGCCGCGGAGCGCATTCGGTGTGGACAGGGACGAGGAAAGAAGGGCAATAGACGAAGAGAATAGGCAGACGCTGGCGGCCATGTCAGACGCGGAGATTGAGCAAGAGCGACAAGAGCTCATGTCAAGTCTCAACCCAGCATTGCTACAGAAGCTGCTCATGCGGTCCAACATTGACCAAGGGAGCAACGAGCAGGACTTTGATACAGAGCCGCCAGCACCAGCAGCTACTGCTACCCCGGCGACTGACGAAGCCAAGTCAGAAGAACCTCAATCAAAGACTCCAAGCACTTCAAGCACAAAGAAGGTCTCTTTCGCAGCACCAGAACCCGAAAACGAAGCACCCCAACAGCCAGCATCGTCCTCATTACCCACCGCGCAACCCTCGTCAGACGACAACACCACATCGACTGCCATGCCCGATACGAACGACTCAATACATTTCCCACAACCCCCACAACCACCCGACCTCGACCCAAACGACCCCTCGTTCCTGAAGAACCTCCACGAAAAATACTTCCCCACGCTACCCTACGACCCCTCCTCACTATCATGGATGTCTCCCATCGACCCATCCGACACAAAGTCGCCGTACCATCCCTCGCAAACCGCTCTCAACCCCGCCGAACTCCGCTTCGACTTCTCGGGCAACTTGCTAGCACCCAGCGTCGCACGATCGATACCAACCGACCTGGGTCTTCACCACCATGCCGAAGCTCCCGAGGCAGCAGGCTACACGATCCCCGAACTCGCAGTTACAGCACGGAGTAAAGTGGCTAGTCAACGGTGCATCGCGTACCAAACACTAGGTCGTATCTTATACAGACTGGGGAGAGGAGAATTCGGGGTGGAGAGCACGGAGCAAACGACTGATGGGCCGGCGAAGGTAGCCAAGAATCCAGAGGTGGAGGAAGACGAAGATGGGGAGGAGTGGGTAGAGGAGGATATTGGTAGTGCCATAGCAAGTGGGCTGTGGCAGTGCGTCGAAGAAGGGAGGGTGATTGAGACACTGACTGAAGAGGCGAATAAGGAGAGGGGGCATCTGACTGCACGCACATTTGCTCAGGAGGCGCTGTGGAATTGGCGGAGAGGTGGTGGGAGGAAGAGACAGGCTGTTTAGGCTTCACACAAGGAGATAGATGGATGTATCACTTAGATGTATGATATCACGAGACTTCACCATATGAGTTCGAACTCATCGTTATGCATTACCCGTGGTCTATTTATGCCCCATTGCCAATACCAAGATGCATGTCAGCACGACTCATACCTCGTCATGTCCATCGGCATCACAGCATACGCTCAGCGTAGCTCAAGTCGGCTCGCACATCGCGGACCCACATCCGATTGATCGGCTTGTCGAAACCCTTCATAGCTTTTGCCCCTCTTGGGCGGAGACTCCAAACGAACCGCCTTTCTCTTTGCCGGAGAATTAGTGCTAAGAGAACAGTACTGATCAGCAACCAGTACCCTGAGAAGAATGAGACAGCAGCAGGGGCTCAGAATAGAGGAGAGCTTACTCCTTCTCCACTCCGTCGATGACAGGCACATC